ACAACCTCGGAACCTAGTCACTTGGCCTGACGAAGCTTTTGTGTCAAAAGCGAAACGTTGCCCAGCAATAAATCTATCGATTTTCACCAAACGTTTTCGAAAACGATAAATAGCTCAAAATTTGTTACTTTCCACTTGTTGTTATTTTTCCGTTTTGTTCATTCATTCGGTGGGAAAGCAGCATTCCCATCGAAATTGTAGAAATTCACTGATGAGGCTAGCATGCTGATACCAAAGAAATAGTGCACGTGCTCATAGCTGTCGTCAGTGCTAAGGAGGCCTGGTGGCACAAACCAGCCATCTGGGTGTCTGCCCTCTAACTTTGTTCTTTAGAATTTAGTCGGCATCAAGATCTTTTATGTAGCACCAATTACGGCTTCGATCACATTGCTTGTGTTTAGCCTACTGTTTGCAGGCGTGCAGCAATTCAACCACTGTAGACTTGCAGATGTGTTTCCCATAGGTAGTCAACTGTCACGTGCATATGTATATCTATAAGAAATAAATTAAAATTAAAGGACCACGTCAGATCTTATTGGAAATCAGTAATTTTTCTCAAAGAGTCGGGTAACAATTTTATTGCCACGACTAATCTTAGCTCGAAATTAACAAGGTATGCTTCTTCAAACAGTTCTCTTAGTAGAGGCACTCAAGTACTCCGCTATATTATTACCGCGAAATTATATGAAAACCAAGTGAATTCCAAACAGAATTGTGACGGATAACTCAAACCCTACGAAAGACCTGTTTTCTATTGCTATGGTTACCAGAAACAGTCATAAACATCTTAGCAGTAACAGTGTAGACAACGTTCGAATTTCAATTGTATATTCTGACGATACGGATTTGGAACGGGTTTTCAGGGCGTTTTGTTAGCCGAAAAAAAGCACTCATCTAATTTGATATAAATTGTAGGTGTTTTGACACGTATTCGTACTACAGTAACGAAGAATGTCCCGTATTGCAGTCCATCATAAATTAGGATATTGTGTACAATCGGCGTGTCTGGTTACTGGCAACTGTCTCGCTAGATTCAAAGCGGAGGTAATTTCGATACCCGGTTGTAAACAATATATCTCCGCACAACTCCACCACTATCGATCAGTTGTGGCCTCAAACAGTCTAGAATTTATCGCGTATGTTGGCTACAACTCAGAGTGGTCACTAAATAATGCTTCATGCCCTCCACACTCAGTATAAACACAAATTTTCAGAATCTTTGGGCGTAGACTTCAAATCCTCTGCAATCGAATAAAAAATGTCCTGATACACCTAAATTTTACTGACCTGCTGCGCAAAAAGATGTATTCCCTGACAAATCACGTTCAGAAGGAGAACGAATAAAAAATTGGTTATTTTGAATGATATATTGACACGATTTTAATTAAATTTCAAATGAATATCCCTGGCAAACTGTGCTGTGCTTGATCCTATCTACTTTCACTCCTACATGCAGATAGGTAATATGCGTCAGCGTTTCTCTTAATTGACTTTCAAGATTGTGTAATGCAGCGCATATACCCACATAACAGTATGATCATCAACAGTTATATACTAAAGCACATGAGATCTTCTACTGATTCGCGGACAACAGATTTGGATTTCACAGCAAGCAAAGAATGCGAGAAATGCAAACGATTCATAGTTAACGATTTCATCACAGTGGTCCGAATTATCAAGATGATTTTCTCGGTTCATTTTCAAAAGGCTTAAGTGTGCATAACTTTTGGTTTGACCCAATGTCCCACTGATTTTGCATTGTTGATCACACGCACGGAGAACTTCGTCCAGAATCTAAGCAATGATAAGTTGTCAGAAATTTCAATCTTAACACCAGGATCGGGTACTGATAAATATTCACCATGATTGCAAGTGGAAACAAACCTCACGTACTGCGTTCGTTCCCCGAGGATGCTTCGTAATAACCACTTCCACATCCCCAGCAAGATGGGTGAATGATTGAAACGGGCTGAAGAGATCTAATTTTTGAAAACACGCAGTAGAAGAGCAGCATGTTAGAAATACAGGAAACTCATTCTTTCAGTTTGTTTGCAAGCCGTTTTTCTCATTTTTTTGACGGTCCATGAAATGAAATGGCCTAAAGTACTGTGTGACGTTCATTTTAGTGTGATATCTTAGTGAGCTGCTTTGAAAGAGGTAGACGAAACTTGTTTGCCTGTTACGAATTTTCAAGCCACAAACCGTGTGCCTATCTGCAATGGTTTCAGGCTGACACAGCTTCGTTTTCAAATGATATAAAGAACAGGGACATGGGAACCACACGCTGAAGCTGATAGCCAAAGTGATTCATTGACGATAAACAGTTCTGTTTTTCGCACTTGACAGAGTTATCAGAGCTACGCACTGAATATGATAGTTTCAAACAGGACGAAAGTTGTGTCAGGTTACAGTGCATCTTTCCTGAGAGTTGAATGCATTATAATTTAATGGACTATTGCATGCTTGCTCGCGTCATAGGCTTTCTTATCAGCTCACTAGAACAGTAAGAAAAATATCCGTCATTTTAAGAGGACAAGATAGGAACAATCCGTCCCAAACTACATGTAGCATGGGAAAAAGTTGTAGTTTCGAAAAAATATTCCGAGTCATTTGATAACTTTGATAATGGGTTTTGCTTTGACTTCAATGTTCTGTACGTATGTGGAAACACGAGTGACGTTGAGAACTGTTCAATCTGAGTGACAAACATTTTGCAGATATTAAAACGTTGCCCAGCAGTTAAACCACCCATTTTTTTCTTGTAACTAAATGTTCTTCAGCCACCTTTTTGGTAACCAGTTGATGTCTGCGGCCCGAATCAGGAAATTTCAAGATTATTTCTAAAAGCATGCCAAAGTGCTAGTTTTATCAACGGAAGAGATGAGCATGGGCTATTCCTAAATTCCTGCAGCTTCCCTAGGGTTTGTGAATATAGTCTTATGTGTCATTAGAACACCGCCAGGTCTTGGACACGGTTTTTAGCGGAAATTTTATATTCGACTACCTCAATGAGCAGTAGGATTAACGTAGGAGCCAGGGTTCTTGCGGGTCTTCACGAGCGGTAAAAGCACTGATATTTATACTATGGACCCCCTTAGCGCTAAATATAAGAATTTGATTGTCAAAAAAACTTGTAGATTTACTTACACTTTACATCGCTCTTGTCGATTCAAAACCTCCCGCAAAGCAGCAGTGATGACCAGCCGGATGAATCCTGAAAATACAGTCAACTTTGTTCGAATCAGCAGTATTAGTGTAGCCACCCTGTCGAAACCGCACTTTCAGGTGTTTGTGCTGTATATGCAAGCGGATTTCAGGCCCGAACACATATTCGTTTGGCCATAATAACAAAATCTCGGAAGTATTACTTGATAAACCAAAATAGTGTGCACGTAAACTTCAGCAAATAAGTGGATGTTTTTTCTCCGTACAGATTACAGCCAGAAAGTTTCTTTCCAACGCCTGAGCTATATAGTCCGAATACGTTGCGTGTACGTCCTCCATAGGCTTGAATTGTAATTCACATTAGAAACCTGGTTTACCAAGCTCTGAAATGTAGTTTCTCAGCAAGAAATCTACTTATTTTCTCCTGATCCTTTTATAGATTGAGACGGAATTACTAAGGCAAGATCAATTTGTTTGATTTCATAACAATGGGATTTTCAACCAAAATAAATAAACGGAAAACCTGGTCCTTATTGGTTTCTATTATTGAGAAGCTGTGCCAAGATGAAGTCATCCCGCTCAAGCAGACTGTGGTTTGAATAGCCTGTAGTAAGTCAGTGTGAGGAAGGAAGTTGTTTTAAACAGAACTGATAAGAAAGCCAGGTGGAATAACAAACGAGAAAAATCCAACGTAGTTTTCTTTTTTCTATGAGGAAGAATGCTGTAGACGTTTTATAAAACTTTAAATTCAGACTGCACTTAATTCATCCGTCCTCGTTATCTATGTCATTACTGATGAGATAAATAGAAGCACAAGTTGACATAAAAAGTTGCCTTGAGTGACGAGGGAGAGAACAGTGGGCGCTCTCTAGGAATATCAAAAATCAGCCTTATGTCTTACAACCTCTAATGTTAGTCAACTTACTTATTTGCGAGCGCTCCATAAGCTTTATGGGTGGCACGACCCAGCGCTTGTCGCATGTCATCAAACAGCATCATTCTAAATTGGAGACGTTCGTCAGGTTGAACCGCAGGTTCTACTTTAAGTGGTAGAAATGACTGATTACAAATACGTACAGGCAAACATAGCAAACAAATTCAAAGCAAATCAAATGAAATTATCGACAATTGCGGTTGCTCCTCAAATTGCTCCGTTTTCTTTTAATTCTCCCTAATTCTAATTTCTAATCTCTTTATAAATAATGTTCAAAAGTAAAAATGTCCTCACATTTCTAATTATTAGGAAAGATACAACAACCATAGTTGATTATAAGTATGCGCACAATTCGTGTCTCTATACTGGTCATTTATTCTATCTATGATGCCCATGTGATAGGGACATAAACTGATTCAGTACATTATCATCAAACACGAGATTATTTAGTCTGTCCCAAGTTGCCGTAAACTGACTAGTCCAATATGTGACATTTCCGCGCGATTATCAAATGCTTGCGCAATCTGTGTGTAGTGCGATAGCAGTTCATAGATTGTTTTTGCTAAATACTGTTAAACTCACACGGGAAAGGAGTCATGGACTGACACTTTATATTGGCGTTAGCACTACATGCACATTTGGAGATTTGAAAAAAGAACATATCGCCAAAGCCTATTTCTACCAGTCCAGTTTTTTCATTTGATCTGCAGGCACTGATGATTTTTTACACCAACGTTCTACCTCTATTGATATCGTAGTTGTCCTGTCCCTAGAGCTATCACAAGGTTTGTGTTTATCATTTGGTGACATACATCACCCCGACCAATCCGCAAAAGAGTATGTGTTGGAGACAAATATAAGTGGCCGGTAGGATGCTTGTACGGAATAAGTTCACCGTAGATTGCCCATGAAGACGAACACCATCAAGAAAGCAATGGAAACGTTCGAAAGATGTGAGATATAGAAATGAGGTCTCTTCAGTCAGAATAAAGTCACTTTGCTGTAAGTTTCCTGTCAAGTATTTTCTTTTCTTCAAATGATGCCATGTGTTTACAATGTTCTACTAACTTTGAGTGGAAGAAGTTTCAAACTCAACTGTTGCTCAGCTAAATGTTGCTTTTTGTTCAATCTAAGACTGCCACACCAAATATATTAGCTCCCGTTAGGAGATACTTTTACCTCTCCCGTCCACTTTGCATTTTCACTCAGATAAACTCCGGAAAACCTCGAATACATAAACAGGGGATGGTGTTCTGCATTTTGTCACACTGGAACACACTCTTGGTCGATAAGTACTCTGCTGACATAAGCACAACCTATCAATTTTTAATACGCCTAACAGGCCAACGGTATTACATGAAAGATGAATGATCGAAACCTCAAACATAGGTTTGCTGACGAAGGTTGAAGAAGGTCCTAAGCAAAATGATCCTGGAAACGTGCGGCATCAGTGTAGATGACATTTGACGCAGAAAGCAAACAACCTGAATTAACACAGATAACTCGAGGAACTGCCTGCTGAAATGAACCTAAAATTTGTTTTGTTCTGTACTTTCATGTATACCAAGAAATGGGGCCTTAAAGTTGGAGCCACGATTCATTGGATAACGCTGAAAATGCTACCGAAACGGATGTTCTTCCGAAAATAATTATTCTAAGCAATAAGTCATGATACCAGTCATGGACAAGAGAAAGCCCTAGTCTCTCGAGTTGAAGCACTTTTCCGGGATGATTTTGTTTTTGCTAGCGAAAGGTTGTAGCCGACCTTCGATATGATTGATCAAACCGCGAAATTAGCATGATATCGTCAGGTAGATCTGCTCTACTATCGTACACGGTAAAACGGATGAAGAAAGGATTCCCTTGCTGTTATTTTATACGCAACAGGAAATAAATTTTGCTATTATCCTATATCCCAAATGGCACAATATGTGTGCATTCATTTTCTGTCACCTGGAGCAAAGGTAAAACTTTACACTTCCGGATAGCTCCTCTCTTCCCTTACTGTTTCCCTAATTTTAGCAAAGCTTTTATTTTATCAATTTAACTGTCGGTCTTAACCGACTGGTCCAAACCAATTTCAGAAGACATCGTAGTAAAATCAACCACGGAGTAAAACATTATCAAATGAACTGCACCTTACTACTTTGATGAATGTAGGGATAAAAGGACGCTTCAATTAGAATTTTCTATACTTTGGGAAAATACAGTTCAGGTCTGAAAATTAGTGAGCAATATGTGACTAAATAGATCATGTCTAAGTTAGAGGGAGCCAAAAAACCTACTAAGTTATTGGCATAGAGCCACGAGTTTTTTGCTACCGTATTCCTGTCATTTTGTGTAGCCGTCACGTAGGTGCCACCGAAACATTTGGCAGGCATCCAAGCCTGAGATTATCCTACCTAGGATTAGTTTACGTATCTAAAATCAAGTAAGTTTATGAAAGTGTGGGAGTATCGTAAAATATCGGACAAAGCCCACAATATCATAGGACATTTGTGACATCCAGTAAAGGATAAAAAACGGGACTCGACGGACGCGTCGTCAAAACAACGCTTCCTCGAAGTTTATAGTTCTGATCCAAATGCGTTGAATGTTTTTTCGCTGAATACTATGGTTGCTTATGATGCTAAGAAAAGTGAACCAATTGTCATTAGATGTTGATTTTTTCAAGTTGGTTTCTAAAAGTGTTTTCTCTCGCGTAGTGTCGGAATGGTACAGGCGTGCTCTTGGGATTTGTCATCACCACGTATGAAGCCACCAGCGCCAGTAATACCACAAATGAAGTAGCAATGAAAAGACGTTCGCCAGCTTGAAATCAAATTACAGTCCTCACGTAATCCTTTCGAAGTTATCTCACCGATATGATCTGCTACTTTGGTACCATGTTGCTTGAGCTGCAAGAAAGTTCCAACTATCAATCAGTTTCCGCTATTACCCGGGAAATTAAAATGTCAGTAAATGTTTGCAACACCAGCGATCACCTATGTTGTCTGCTTTACGTTGGGAACAATGCACTGACAGAGAAACAAGAGGTAATTCACTCTAGTTTCTGCTATGAAGGCTTTTCAACCTGATAAACCCATAGTACCGAATGCATAAACTTGGTCACTGACTCTTAGACGACAACCTCACCGTTGCATCGAGTTCTGTTTGGTTCTTATCGTCAGCGACGTTTCTCCCATGCTTCTTCTGTAAATTTGACACACTCAAAAGTTGCAGCTTGTAAGCAACACCATCCTGATCAGTGTAATCGTGCAAATATTCGAGTCATCAATTCTGTATATTTTATTTACGGAAGCTACAATCAAAATTTGTTGTGCCTTCTCCGACTAATTGATGTGCTGACTAATGTAGTTGGGTAGGGAAAACATAGATTCTTTCACACTCCAGGTCTCACATATGAGACCACAATGTGTGATTAGACGCTTTAGAAAGACGTTAAGGCGCTGATGAATCGCTCCCACAGATCAACTCCCTCCTGTTCTCTTTTGTCAGCGGTTAGTGCCTACTGGTATCATGTTTTCGTGGGTACATAAATTTCTACTGTAACCACCCATGATATACGTCAAAATATACCTCCGTCAGAGCAGCTGAGCAACAGATTACCCTTCCAACTGAAATCTTGCCTCTCATTGTAGTTTGCTTTTGCTCGTTAGTGGAGTAAGAATCCCTTAAACGTTTTACTGGAGAACGTTTATTTTAAGTAAAGTCAGCCTATCTCGAAAAGTCAAAAGGCTACAACTATTTGGTGTCTACATGAGACCATCGGCAGTGCGCAGTTCGCACTCCAGGGACCTTCAGAACCCGCGACCTCTGGGCTAGTACCTGAACCGTTCAGCTACGAGTGGCTGATCAGCAGCGTAATCCTGACGCATTAAGACATCCTTCGATTATCGATTGTCTCCTTGACACACAACCTCCCAGATGAGATCTGTACTCTTAGTGTAGATTCATTATCTCTTTTGTGCTATTTATTGCGCAAACATGGTTTCCTTTTCTTACCAGCGCAAAGTTTTACAAAGCTCCTTGGAAAAATATTGCCTGGTGGAGGCCGTGTCGTTGGCTGTTTGGATGATAATTTCGTCAACAAATTCTGCTTGCCACCTTTAATTCTAGTAGAGAAAACAGATGTTTAGATAGTTTTTGGCAGTCACACAAAATTTCGACAATCTGATTGAACAACGAGCAACGCACCATCCGCCGAGCGTTTTTTATAGCCTTTCCTAAGGCTCAATAGTGATGAGTGCCTTCAATTTGAGGGAAGTCAAAAGTCATGGGTTCCGATTTTTAACCAAGTTAAGGTACCCTCAAATGATTCGTCTTTGTAGGGTGTCTAAATGGCCTTCACCTGTTTTTCCAGCAAAACAAATCCGGTTTTATTGCACGTTGTAATTTTCAGTTGGTGGCGCCATTCCGAGTATTCATACACATAAATATGGGTGGATAACTGTCGTAGAATCACTTTGGTAGAATTTTTGCTCGTGCGGTTGACTATAGTCTTATCTTGAGGCTATCCCAGCATCTGCTGAATCAAGTGAAACTCGTGTTCCTTTCACAGACAACTCAATGTTCAAACTATTGTACCCTTTCCCTGCCACTTTTTATGTGAACTTTTTGGAGAATGTCCAGGAAGATGCCTTGTGAAAACTCAATGATTACCTCCTCCAAGTGACTACGTAGACTTAGATTTTTCGTTACCTCCAGAAATGCAACGGGCCGCAAAGCACACGTCTGAGTAGTACCACACTAAAGAAAGTTTGCGTGAATTCCCCGTCACAGTTGATGTTATTGGCTGCTCCTCCACTGGGACGCTGGTGTTGCTAAATACCATCCATGTTGGTCACATGCTGTGGCTACAACCACAAACCTCACCGCACTCCACTATTTACATGAGACCACCATATCTAACAGGGAGGGTTGTGTTAGAGTCGGACAGGACCGACAAAAAGAGGCAAGGGCAGAAGTAAAATATCTACAAAATATGAATGCATAGACGACATTCTTTCTACTCAATCCAGAATAATAAATTTTCCAAATCAAACTGTGACAGCAAATATTGAAGTCTCAAAAGTTTACCAACTCACTGAACGTGGTGTGTAAATACTTTCATGGTGTCCTTGTGGTCCACTTTAGGCCCCAGTCAAGTAGATAACCAATTGAGACCATTTCAAACCATTGGACATTAAATTATATAAAGGTTTGTTCACACGCATGGGCAACATATTTCTGCTATGTGACAGAATGTCTTCCTCCGATAGAGGGCCTATCAGTAGCTCTCAGCAGACTGTTCTACACCCGACAAAAATCGACCATTTTGTAATAAAATGAAAAAATGGAGGAAAATGCCGCATTATGAAATCCTATTGAATATTCACTTGCATTTTGTAATAAACCAGTGTTATCGCTGTGTATAACTGCAAAGCAATTCAACCGCCTAATGAAACATTTTATCTCCAGCAACTCCAACTGTCTAACATCAATGGGAATGCACAATGACCAGTTGCTTCTGTTTTTTCATATCCTTCCTCCTCGGCACTATTTCAAATGCGATGGCAAACAACTGCACGCTGCTACCGTCTGATCTGTTAAATTGTGCACAAAAACAAGGGGTAGTGCGTTTTCCGGACGATGGCGCCGGATATGGCTTCGGATTTGGGTCGGTTCTTGATGTGGAAAACATGTGCAGGTAAGAGGGAATTTATGGATCCTCAAGGCCTTCACTTTGGGGGCTGATATGTATACAGATTTTTGAGGCATCTACAATGAAGAGGTTATGGCTGAATGAATCTTAAGAGGGTCATTAGACTGATATTTCCTCCCAGCTTGCATTTTAATACCAGAAATACGCACCCTTAATTAATCAATTTAAATGTGGCATTTAAGCATCTGTAAGTAAAACACTTAGTCTGGCAAGCCTTGTATGACCTTCTCAATTTCTTCAACAAAAGTCCACTCTCTTATAAAAGATAGCCCCGATCGTAACCATGTTTCCAGTATCTTTCATGAATTTGTAATTTGTCCCGAAACAGTTCGCGCAAACGGGAAATAATTTTCCCGGGAACGATGGAGGCCCAAACCATACAGGACGAATTGAGAGGCATTATATCAACTTTGACGCGTTTATCAACATTGCGAGTGCTGATACCAAAGAGAGAAACTTTAGGATAGACCGACATCTTCAACTAGTAGCTGGGTTAGATTATATTATCAGAATGTTAATGCTTCCAGCGAGGTCAGATGGGTAGATCTTAAAGGCCAAGAAGTGAGATTATGATTGTGACTGCATGTTGTTCGGGGAAAACAAGACCGAATTAACCTGTCTGATTAGAAGAGGGATCCCATGGTGTGTTCATTAGGGGGCACCTCTTTTTGAGTCAAGTTCTATTCAAGATAACCAAAAGTCCGTATCAAGCATGCAAACATCTTTGTGTCAAAGGTCAGCTGATTAAGTTACCTTGGCAGCCAACCGAACAGAGTTTACCAGGCAGTATTATGCCAGACGTGGGTAGCATGGCACTCTGATTGAGGTCGTTTTGTGCTCGCTTATCAGTCATGCACAAAAAGTCAGTTTCCTAGTGGTACCTCGTGCTAGTTTTGTAAAGCGGGCTACCGTATTTATGATCATAGCACAACAATCATGAAACTATTCTGATAAAGGATGCTATTTGAAGATCATTTCACGGACAGTGTATTCTACCGCCAGCAGCGTGCACGGAGAGCCTTAGATGCATTGGATACTGCTTGTAATCACAATAGATTGTGCTTTATGGTCCTACGATTTCATTAATGGAAATGATGGGGTATATAGAATAAACTCAGCGAGCAGATCGATAGATAGTGAGCTTACAGTGAGATTTATGAACAATCCATGCATCCGGATAGGAGGCTCAGACACAATGTTTCCCCAAAATGCTACTGTGACACAGCGATTAGTTAGACAAGTGATTATTTGCAGCTGTCGTCCATCCACGAATAAGTGAGCGAGTACAAATGTCGCCATCATATCAGACCTTTTTAATCCTTATTTAATAACACCAAGAAACATGACAGAAATAAGGTGCGGAAAACATAAGTATGCAGCACTCATTTATTTGTTCCAAAAACCGACATGCATTATCACTGACTTTCCTTAAATTGTAACGTAACCATACCGAAAAGTAGGTAAGTGTCGTTTAAAAACGTTATTGTACAACCCCTTAAATTATTTGCAATCCAGGCGTTGGCCAATCATGAAAAGATTATCGATAGCCGAGGCAGAGGTTGCTAGAACAACTCTTGTGAAACACAAGAGAGAGAGCCCTGTTTTGTCCTCCAACTCACATAAAATATCTTTAACGTAGTCTCACTAAAGGATACACTTGATCGTCTCTTCGCTAAAGCTCACCTGTCCCTGTTCCTTTCTTTTGTATTAGAACGAAGTGGCATTTAAATGTCTACGCCTGTGCTCATCAAACCGTGGTCAACCGGTGTGCAACTAATGCTGAATCCCACTTTCGTATGAGAATGTGGCAGTTTATCTTCGATGCCTCCAGATATACTAGGGCTGCCCACTACCTATGTCGACTGCACAACCTCAGCAGTAAGTCGTTTTGAGGTGCATATTTAGTTTTGTATCAGACATTGTGTTTATAGTGGAGAGAAGAAAACTAACTTGACACGTATGCCACCTGATTCCGATATCCCCCGGCGATTCGAAATAAAGAAGCACATGAAGTGGCTTGCCCATAAAGTTATTTCTCAGTAGAGATGTTTTATGGGTCTGTGTAGACTTTGAATAGCAATTCAAATGGACAGCCCTCAAATCACAACAAAGACAACTCCAAGTGTTCCTATAGATGTGCCACAGGATACGAAAACAGGGCCCAGGTTGTTCATACCATTCACAGGCTAGAATTGGCTGAAATGCAGACGGGTCAGTGCTTCAGAACAAAATCTCCACCTATGCTGTCCAAAGGAGGTACCGCATAGACTGGATTGAACAATTTAGTTAGCAAGTATTCAATAAAACTTTCCTGCAGTCACGCAAAAAATATGATATTTTACTCAATTAGAAACATTTTGGAATTTTAGCACCTTGAAGCAGTTGGTAACTCGCTCAGCAAGAAAAAAACAGCTTTTTTTGTTATTACTTTTACTTACCAGATTAAGCAGCTGTTTCCATCAGAGTAGATTTTAACAACAATCCACAATCGACTTTTAAAGTGACGTTGCATGGTAGGGTTGCTGTAACTTTTGCACTGCCACAATATACCTTCTCTCTGAACGTGGGACTTTTTAGAGCATTCTATGAGAAACATTGCCAGACTATTCACTTAATTTGGAAATCAATTTTTAACTTGATTGCATGCATGCCGTTTAGGCATTGAATAATCAGGATAATTCCCAAATCCCTTTTCAAAAATGTTCCAGTTAGATGGCATGGCGGATCAAGATTAACATGCACACAATAGGTATTTGTAGGAAAGGTATTTTTTATCCAATGACTAATTATAGCCCCATGGGTCCTCGTCATTGAGCAAGTAACAGTCTAAATCCATTTTAAAACATATGCATTCTGTCAAAATGCACTTATGATTGTATAAGCAACGGCAACTTGATAACGATTTGATTTGAAATTTGTACGCGCGGACTGGTGACACACGTTGAAAGGAGTTGTGCAATTTTCGGAAGATTATGAGCGAGGTATGTCGTAGAGCTCTGGTTCATATTTGAATGGCTATATTATCCAAGGATGGCTGACTGTGGGCACGAAAACATTATCTTCCATGTGGGTCTGAAAATACAAGATAGCTGGAATAGACACGTCAACAGCATAGTCTGTGGTCAAATCTATAGAAAGCTGCAAATCTATTGTCGCCCAGTAGTTATCCGGTTCAGTTTGATAATACGCAGTCGCCATTGTGTATGTGAAGAATACTCCCGGGAAAATGTGTATCATTTGGCTGGAAAGCAAAAAAAAATAGAAGAAAATTATAAAGGATAAAAGTCTTGTGGGTGGCCACGTTGCGAAGGTATCATCAAAAAACGTAGACAGCAAAATGTAACTGGCTGTGGCATACAGGCATGCTATCGTGACAAAAGACCATGGTAGTTTGTATAGCTCAGGTGGAATGTATATGAAATCATATGACTTAGTCCAAAGTTACCGGGTATTCCCTAGAAAGTGACTTGAATGATTTTGTAGATCTCAGCAGAATATACAGATACATTTGATCAGTAATCATGTAGACTGAATAAAGTGGACCAAATGCAGCTTCATGTATACGTTTAGTGAAAACGCGTTGCGGAACCACAATGTTAAACAACAACATGTTGGACTGGCTGAACCTTTCACAGCTCAAAGAGCACGAACAATCAGTTTGTAAGCAGAAGCTGCCGTGCAGACGGCGTCCTCCTCTCTTAAACTTTGGATTTACCTACTCTTGCTTTTTCACCCTTTTAAAAGCGCATATGATACGAAGTCGGCAAACAATAATACAATATGCGTGACGTCTGAAACAATGAAGTTTTATCAGTACTTTCAAGTTCACTAGTGGTTCTGAGGTCGGAAGAATATCTAGCTGTTTATAGCTCACAGATGTGACATGCAAACACGCCTGAATGTATCACATTTTTTAGTTGGGATAAATTATATTCTTACACAATCCACTGAAAAAAGCTCGTGCGAGTTAAGGCAGTTGAGCGGGTAGTACTGATGAGCAAACGGGCGGCTCGGCAATCTTTGCGAAAACATCTTGATGAAAAACCTCAAGCATTTTGTATCACTTTTTTGCTATCCTGCAATAGAGCATTTATTGAACGAATTGGTTTGCAGTTTCATATGCGTCTATGTTTTGAGAGTGCGATTCTTAAAAAAGACTATAAACTAGTGTTGAAAATGGTCTGTCCTTATGAAAACTTCTTGCAGTGTATTACACAGAGCCATCCACATGCTAAACTCAATTTCACTGTTGTAATTTCCCCATGACCGTTTCTGTTAAAGACAACAGCTCGTGTACATTAACTTACCATGGCATATGCTTGACTGTTACGTGGGTTGATGTTAATCGGAACGTGTAAAATTTGGTTTTCAGCCTCCAATCTCTGAACTGTTTTAAAAAGTAATATATTTTTTAGTGATCCACGTGTTACAAACGTTCTAGTCCTGGACTAGAAATCCCTCGCCTCAGACTAATGCTGGTCATTGTTGTCTAAATAAAAGTATAGCAACATTTGCTGGATTGAGTGCTACACCGAGAACATTTCTGCCGTACCATTAAAATAAAATGTTTCTTGGCAAGGTGCAAAGTGAGAACACGAGGAATAATGGTGTTTGGACCACGGCCATTCACACTATCGCTTAGTGAGCTCCGCCGTGCGCTTTTTTGACAAGTGAGTTAAAGCCCTCACATTTATCAATTATCATCCACTGGTTATTCGAATTATTCTGTTGTCATCGAGTCTTCAACTACAGGAGTACGTATTTTAAAGGAAATTACTTGTTCCGCCTCAAAACTCGGTATACATCGCCCAACGGAAGGAATACCTTTCTAGATAACACTGTCGTTTACTAGACATCCCGATATCGTACCATAAAAGCAAGCAATACGATTGGCCGCCTTCGCCCGTATAAACTTCCTGGACTTGTTCCTTCGAATTACTTCAGGGGCCAGGATTTGAATCCATATATGTATGATAGACAGAATATTGGAAGATAAATGGTATGCCGTGCTTTTAAAAGAACAGATAACGACCAATGTAAGCTTGACACTACACGAAACGGATGCTGCGCCGCAAAAGACTGTATGGCGAGATTAAAAGCGATCTAATATGTGCATGCAATGCAATTTCTTAATCGAAAACGTAATACATTGTTATATTTTTAATTTTTAGAAAGAGAACCACTCGTAAGTTTATTTAAAACTCTCTGACACCCCAAGATTGGTTTTCTGCTTCTGAAATTTCATGAAGGAGACTCAGTCCCGAGTCAACCTAATGTTCTACTTCAACCCAAATTGAACTGATTTTAAAAAATATGATCAGTTGCATATCAATTTGGTTCTCACTAAGGACTCAACTGAATTTCTAGCATAGAATATTTTTCAACCAAATGTGTTGTAGAGAGGCCACCTCAAGCTTCAGTTGGTACCATATTCAAGATATCGCAGCATATTTTCATAAAGAAAACTAGCCGCCGGTTTGCTAAAAGCACTTCAACGACCCTCGCCCGTTTTCACTTTTCATGAAAGAGATTCATTTAAGTGTCTCAAAAAAACAAATTTATATGCTAGTACGTGTTTTGCTCATCACGTTCGAACAAATATTTCTAGTCAGCCTTTTAACTCCCTCACGGAATCTTCCTAAAGCTGCTAACAAATGACTAGTCTGTACGAATGAGCTTTGCAGCGAATACCTTAAAGCGAAATTTGTTCATGTTCACAACAATGACACACATGCTTGCTGCTTTTCAGTTTTTCGGATGCATCGAGATTCATGCCTGTTACCTTACGAGCAACAAGTAAACGCCTGTTCTGAAGCCTACACCTCATTACTGGCAGCCACAACGCTTAGACTGGCTGTGAACAATCCATCCAATTTGACAAACGAATGGGCCTACGCTGATTATATGATTCAAGAACTAACAAGGACGTACTGCGTGTAAGCAATCGGCTACTGGTGATAAATTATTTTAACTAGCACCACACACACTACAACAAATTTCGCATACTTTACTATTTTCACGCCAACGATGTTGTTGGATGACGTATCAGAACTATTAAGTAAATAGTATAAAATTATAGAAAGCTAATTTCGTTAAGTTCGTTTCCTGCATGGCTTAGTGATTTGATTAGATGATTAGCATGTTACAATGATCAATCTAACGTTTATCTGTTTATCGCAGGACCGAATCATGGTGTACCGTCTGAGACTACTGCTAATGCGACACCTTATAAAAAAGCGACTTAGATTTTGGACAAAATTGTTGTCCCACGCTGATTTTATGAGCTCCTTTGTGAGAAATTAGGTATAATTAAACTATCCCGACAGAATAAATCCAAAGATGAATGGTATAAATTGTCTCCTTGACAGGAAACACGACACAAATTCGACAGCTTACTGCCAGCTTCACCTTTCTTGAGGTCGATTAGGAGGACTTAGTCCCAGGGTACTCAAATTTGCTTTCAGCTTGGAAACAAAATTACACGTGACTAATGAATAGTACTTATTCACAAACTACAAGGGCATTATAAGTTACAAGTTCAACTGTCTGCCAAGCGACGCTAAACGTCCGCAAATATATATATATATATAACAAAATTAATATATTTTTGTTCTCCATGACAAAAGTCTCAAAAACGTTACTTTTAATTTGAACCAATCAAAGGTTTTGCATAATTAGAGACCACATGCCAGTCTGTGTTGAATGCGCAATGTTGAGGCAAAAACAGGGTGATTTGAGCTGTGATGCGGTAACATCCAGCGCAGAACTTAGGTTCAAAGTTTTCGCGAAGGCATTTATCAGCGAGTTTTTGCCATAAGATAGGCATTAATTCGGAAAAGTCAGTCTCAATGACAGCGACAACTATTGTTGGTCCACGTAGGACATCGGTCTTTTCCCATAGCACACATGTTTTAACCCACTTACTGGCCTGTCGGTAATGTCCCCCAAATTATGTAGTCTAGTAACTGAAGAAACTAAATGTGTTTGACACATCAACCGTCGGTGTCCTGAATTACCAATGCCATGTTTTAATTTTTAATTTAATTTTAACTTTAATTTAATTTGATTATATCCATATTTCTCCTTCCTCAACACGTCCTGGTTCTCTAGCACATTTCCTAGTAAAAAAATACCTGCTTAAAGGTCCAGAATGTGAATAACATTACTGTCTTGCTGCATTTTCCTGATCTGCTTGTTTCTGATTAGCTGAATTTGCGACTTTTGCGTTGAGCAAGTTTTGGGCCTGCAACGCTGTTGTTTGAGGAATCCTTGTCGTCCCAGTTGATTTATCTATCATTTAAAACGTTTGGTGCTGGTCGAAATGTCACAGACTAAGCACTAATAAAAGAAACCAGTCACAAGTACATGATATCTATAGGTAAATTTGGGGAAACTACCTTATTAACACATAAGTAGACTGAAGTTAGTAAGTGTTATCGACTGGCCAATCTTCGTTTGTGTTGCTAGAAAGTAAAGCTAGTCTCTTCTGTGCTAGCATTACCGGTGGTTAAAGATATTATTCCCACTTGACGGTACTACCTACTTAGCCAGTTCTGGTTCATATCTCCTGGCTTGTCAATCTTATGGACAAAGAAAGATCAGGCTGTTCTGGAAATTGAAACGCGGCGTTTGTCTGCACCGTTTCCTTTGTCATAACTCTTTATAAGCTGACCACATTATCATTATCAACAGGCTCAAGTGAATTCAACAAATTACCTTTGCCACAGTTGGTTTTGTCCAGTCCACTCACTCGCTTTATCCCTCTCAGAGGAATCAAAGAGAAGATTCAGTGTGTGACCGCACGGCTTAAGGAACCATGTACGGAGGACGTCATCTCACTCGTTCGTAACTATTACAGAGAAACTCTCCCAGAAAACTGCCCAACACAGGCTGAGGAAAAGACACAAATATTTGGACCAGTCAAACGAACGACTAGCGGAACCTCGAACCCAAACAAAAAGATATTCCAGAACTCATATTTATCAAAGACCTCCCCATCCAAAGGAAAGTCTTGCAGATTCAGCATCAACTACAGACGGTATTTCTTTATTGGTTTAATTTCCGTTATATTGAAAGATACTCTACAAATTTGTATATAAAGTGGTACTTATTTTCACTTTTACTTCTGAAATAACAAGAAGAAAATCGACACACATGCGAATGATATTGGGATGCTTCTTGAAGGCTGACAATGTGTCCAACAAGGTCCAAGACTCACTCATTTCAGAATAATAATGTGTTTGTATTACTGGGATGTCAATAATGACAGATTAGTTTTTTATGAGTTGCACATCAAATTTCCATTTGGTCGTATATATGCACAGTTCAGTCAGCTTTAAGAACGTCGGAATAGCACGTTTAAATGATCCTTTTGTTGTAAATAAACTAATCTCTTTCTTATTGTCATATCCAAAAGTTTGAAAATACCTGAATGTTAACGAGAATATATCTAGTGGACTAATTCAAGTTTACTCAGTAAGTTGGGTTATAAGATCCCTACATGTCCTCTCTATACGTGCCTTGGACAACATCATACCATGGACAGTGATTCTGACACTTTCATTCGTTTGATTCATGTCCATGCTTTTGTCGTAATTCTCAAATGAAGTTTCCACCTAGAAAACTGGTTGTTAGAATGCATCACAGCATAAATCAAGGTAAGACAGTTACACCGTAATTACGATGCGTCTTATTTGGACGCCTTCAACAACCATTGTTCACCGTTCAGTGGTCTCAAACTGGCAAGTATTTTTCTCACGTTTCTGTGGGGAGTAGCAATGGTGACACATTTAGGGTATCAGTGTTTGGTGGTAGCCAAGAAGGATGATCAAGAACCACCAACGACAAGCGCAGCAAGACACGTGACGATTAAACTGAGCTTCACAGGCAGTTATGGACAAATATTATTGCTTTCCCCCGATTATTCAAAGTGAACGTATCTGATGTAATAGATCTCAGTTTCTGAATGTAGTTGTCATCTCAGTGTGATTCATTCCTAGGTTTAATACTGGTATCATTAGCAATAAAATATCCACCAAGTCTATTTGCGCCAGTATATGACCAACCGGTAGATTGTTTTTGAAAAAAACCTTATTGATCCTCATTCTTCGTCCGTTTCATGGCTAGTTTATCCATTTTATTGGAGAAGCAAAAATTACTTTCGTCCTCTGAAAAGACCCTCCGAATTTCGACTTGCCTTGTCGAAAAACTGAACCGAAGAATGCGAATCATCCATGACACCCGGGGGAAACAAACCAAATTTCGTGGTATAATTCTGAGAAAGTCTATCATGAATCAACTTTGTGTTTAGTACAACGGCCATGATTTAATATCTTCCATGTGTCATTCTTGCCAATAGAGTTAACACGGTCCGCCGCCAATGTATCGAAGAAAAGCCTGTTTGGCAACCACGTCACCGGTCAAAGATTTAGTTATCTGGTTGTTATCCCGAAAATTTACTCTGTAACAATATCATTTAAACTTTTTTGTGCCATGCGTACTACTTATGAGCGATTTGTCATTGCACAACTATATCACAGCTGAATGTGACGCTTCTGTGTTAGCCTTGACCACATTCTCGAGAAAGAACGTGAAGTTTGTAACTTCAAGCCTTCAGCTAACCCAAACATTTATGCTGTCAAAATAGTAAGGCAAGTATTCTAATCCATTACAGTTTTCCTATGTAGCGAACCTTAGTGAGATTCCCATTATTAAGATAAACAGCCTGGGATAAGTTACGTCTAGAGTAGACTGAGTTGTTTATGTAAACACAAGTCTTTATCGTATTCCTCGGTAAAAAAAATTCGGATAATACGAAAATCTAGAGGGTTACATTTTTAAACAGAATTTAATGGCCACTTGAGAACAGCACTGTTTTTGAACACTCAGAAATTCCAATCCGTTGGTCTGGCGTTGTGTTTGGTGCCATTCTTTTCACTAGAAGCCTCTGTTACACCTATTCAGACCAGCAAATCTGTCCTGTATGCCACCGCAGCTACGGTAAAACAGATCGGCCACATGGGAAACAGCCTGAGTGGAAAAGTCCTGAGAAAAGTTGTGAATTTACAATGCCAGCGGGCCTAGGCCTACTACCAACTGTCAATACCCTTAGACTTTTCACACCTTTTATTACAGGCTTTCGCCGGCTTTAGAAGTCAAACGCTGTACCGAAACCGATTTCGCGCAAACTGTTTGAATCATCACAACCGTGCATGGCGGAACCGTCGTAAGACTAATGTAAGGAATAAACCATAAGTTTATATTGTTTTTAGATAAACATGCTTGTATATAGCTTTATTTATTTGTACAGCTGCATCCCACACTGTGGCCACGGTTTTTGGCCTATGGTAGTGAATTACCGAATCGCTTTCTGCGTCAACGAAGCTGAGATGGTCACACGACAAGTAAAGCTCAGTCGTTCACCTAGCATTCACAGTCAGTAAACTGAAGGCGAATATTCAGTAGATTGATTTAATCCTTCGGCTATGCCTGCTGTTGTGACAAATGCTGTGTAACCATGTCGTGGATGTGGTTTGGATTCGTGGATTTGAGAGAAAAAAAATATAGCATCAGTAAAATGTGAGACTATTGTCTTGTCATTGCATTGCGTTTGTAAAAGAAAACTGGGATAAATCCTGCCAAGAATATTTTATTCGCCTTCTTATAGATTTAATTTAAGGTAGCTGATCGAAGACGATTACCTCCAAAATATGGTATGTTTTGGAATGGACGTCACTCATGGTCATCCAGTTTTGTGTTGACCTAGAATTACAGCCAGTTCGAGGATGTAAACACTGCAAAAATTAGCTGATATCTAGAATGTTCTGGGCCTAATTCTCTCCCGTATTTCTCGCATGCGTGCTGCCGTATTATGCAAAACCATCTGTAGAACACCTGCTTACCTCCAAATACAGCGTATACTTGGTAATTGACCAGGTAGCTGTTGATCTGTTCGCCAAGCTTGGCACTTGATTTGCAAACGTTTCGTCACCATTCGAGGAGACATATTCAGTGCGCACATCTTCACAGCGCACTGCCAAGCTCGGCGAACAGATCAACAGCCACCTGATTAATTACCATCCAATACACCCGAGCTACCAATATTTCAACACATTACCAACAGCGTATACTTTCCATAACATACAGTTTAACAATCGCTGCCAAGATCTGTATATTGTTGACGAGTTCCTCAAAATAACGTCAAATGCTCTTTTACACTGGTTAGTAATTTCCACCATTGAGGCAGATATCAACAATTCGGAATATATGCTAAATAATTTTTTAAAATCCTGAGCCGAGTTATAATACCTGTTGAAAGTTAATTAGATTTTCAGCTCGAAAACAAAAGTAAATTTTTATTGTTCGATTCGTGCCAAATCTCTCAGCATCGATGAATGCACTAAAGTGCAAATCGCTGTATAATTCATCTCGCCGATGAGCAAATTAGTAGATCATTTCTTACCTTTTTCTGAAAATAAACGGACGCGCAAGCTAAAGACGAGGGTAAGCGTTTTTATCACTAGCAATGGGGAAAATACTCAAGCATTAAAATTTAATCCTTTTCAAGTGGACAAACGAAATTTCTACGTCTCATTCCGCGTCTTAATCTAATGTGATGAACATCCCAATGTAATTTAATTTCCAGTTGGTAAACTGAGCTACCCAGTTGTGTGAAAGCATACCGACACATAGTTTCTTCAACTAATTCTCAACGTAGACTAAAAATTGGCAGAAATGCAACAAAACTTCAGCAAGAATAGTTTGATGAAAAGCAGAAACTCAATTGCCTAATTCATTAGGCTAAGTTGCTTTTGAGCAACAAATCCGTAGATTTCCTGTTCAGTATTCAGCGGATTATTATTTAAAATTTTCTTTTTCTACAAAGAACGTTGAAGAACACACTAAAGAGTAAAACGGTAACGACTCCCTTACATTACGTAATGCTGTCTGGAAAGACACATCTAGTAGACAATATGAGACAATTTTAAAATTCCAATAATTATTTTGAAAATGTGGTTAATATCTGTCTATGACCAAGATCTGATATCCCCCGAATTGCTGTTCAGTCCCTGTTGGGAAAAAGCCGAAAAACGCGTTTCTTTAACAATTAAAAAATTCCGGCTCGTGACCTCCCGGTTAAGATTTGAAGAACTTGCATTTTGGCCACGAGGTATCAAACACTGTTGGGGGTGACTGGCAATTCACATCACGTAGTCGCATATTGATTAGATTTTCGCATGAGGAAACGCACAAAGAACTCAACGGATCCATTATTTTTTTTCCAAGTTTCTTCACGAAAAGCGTGAAGATAGTTTGAATCCTTCATCAGAATTTTCTTTTCTGAGAGGAACTGCTCTGTTTCCATAGAGCACCAGCAATAGCGCCTCGCTGGGGGTCATCCGCTTTGTACACTTTAGAGATCATCCAAGGGACCGACACTCCCCAAGCAGTCTACACAGCGTCTTTGAAGGAAATAAATGGCCGGTTTTGTTTGGATTAAACAAATCGACTAACAAGGATCCAGAGAGGCAAGTTGTAGTTTTACTTTTTTGTAACTTATTGTGTCAGACGGTGCTTTCATGAATCCACCGCAAGACGCAACGGGATATTGATGTTCTAAGCAGATCTGCAAAGGCAGAAGAATAATACACCACATATAATGTATAAGTTCTGCGGCCTTTACCTGCAGGAACTTGTTAACTAGTGCAAAGATTTATGGTAGTTAGAAGAGAACTATTCATGCGTCCAGATTTCTTCTAACGACTCAAACGCATACCAAGAACGCGCTGAGAATTTGCTGATGACTGGTCTTGGCCGCTGTTCTGACGATATCGGCCTGGAAAAATAAAATTGGTCTCTCCGTGGTACGTCTCCCTCAGTTTTTGCTAAAGTGCAACACTACATAGGCCTTGCCAGATAGAGAACCCCCTCTTGTTAGCGAGGTGGTGTCCCTCTAAGAGGTCTTTCGGGTTTGTTTGACTGCCAAACGTGCACGGTCTCTTCGTATGGTGACGAAAAGTTTTCAATCAATTGCCGAGCTCGGCTAGATCAACATCCACTTGATTAACAACCGATAAGCTCACCCGAGCTA